TGAAGCAAGAGGCACTGCCGAGGTTTGCCACTAGATTTTACCTGCAAACGTGGCCACAGTCAGTAGTTTAGAGGGGAGAAAAAAGTAATAGAAAAACAAAACACGACTTGAGCAACAGACAATCCCCTGCACTAAATGCAGACAAGTTATGCTCATACAGGGCAATGTCATGAGAGAGCAGATCCTTTAACCCTTAAACCAGGACTGAAGCTACTCCATCACCTCACATCCCCACAGACGAGTCAGGCCTCCTCTGAAGCCTGCTGCACTCTGCATGGTGGCAGGGGACCAGCTCCCACCCCAGCCTCCTCAGCAGCTTTTATCCCTCACCCTGATGCATGTTCTCTAATAAATACAGAACTGAATAGAGCCTCTCAAATCTGACCAGCCCTAGATGCAGCTGCATTAACTCCATTAGCTTTCCTGGACCTGCAGATCTTGTTCCATCAATCATCTCCCAGATGAAGTTTCAATACTCAGCATTCCCTCAGAACAGAACAGCAGGACCTGTCGAAAGGCTCTAATGCCACTGCAGCAGCTCGACCAAGGTTCTTCTCAGGAGAAGAAAAAAAAAGTGCATTTTACTCTACAAAGCAGAGAACATAAATTTAAGTGGTTTGGTTCTTTTTTCTTGTGGGGTTTTTTTCCCCCATGGAGTTAACATGAAGTGACAAAAGGCTGCTAAGGGGAAAAGGGAGGCAGGATCCTGAGTTCACTGAAGATGACAAAAGGATTTAGCTGCCCCTCCATTTTATTTATCTTTATCTTCACCAAAAAGCACTGTAATCACCTTGGAGACATGAGGTAGCTACAAAGGAATATGTCACAGGTCCAAAGGTGACTCGACACAAATCCTGTTAAGTTCTGTGTATACCAGATGGCAAATGCTGTTTCTCCAGGACTTTCTGTAACAGTATTGAACCCCAGCGTGCCCAGTACCTGTGAAGCCAGAACCCTGGAATGTTATTTTAACCCAGGTTTGCATCCCTGCAAACAAGAGCATGTGGCGCATGGAGGGAATTCTTCTTCCCTGTTCCCTTTGTCTCTCCCTCTCCTTCTCCCTTCTGTTGTTTTTAAGATCAAAAGCTTTGTTCTCTTGTTGGTAATTAAGTACAAGTCACCAAGTCCCATTTTTCAAAGAGTAATTAAAGGTTATCAAGGAGAAAGAGGTGAGATACATGTATTCCTGTTGTATCTGTAAATAGGGCATTCCAGCAGGTAATTCGACTCATCACTAGTATCACATCATTTCAAGTTCAAACAAAATACTTAATCTCTCAGTCAATTAAAGATGGCCAAAGAGATCCTATGGCTTTTAGCTGCACACATGGCACGTTGATGGCAATCTTCCTCTTACCTTCACAGCCACTTGTCAGGGTGGAAGGATGAGCATCTATAACAACCAACAGCAACTTCCACAGAAGACACTGAGACATAATGTGAGGCTCAAGCCAGAAGATCAGTTACCCACAGGGCCAGGGAGCTAAAGGCAGTGCAAAGTTCTTCTCTCAAGTATGAAGCTGTTGCAGCAATGATTTGCAAGCATTTTCTCTATCTCTACACACTCCACAGACATCAGAATGGGACCGTTCCTCACAGCTGTGTAAATATACACATCCTAGTAACTTCTGTGGAAAGGCAGACTGCTCTGCTGAGGTTGTGCTTCTCCAAATGGACCAGTCCCAGCCCCTTCAGCAAACCAGAAGCAGGCATGTGACATGACCGAGTTACCAGGTACATAACAACTGTATTTCCCTGGGTCTCGGTGCAGGCCTGAAACTTCAAATAAGAAAATGAGCAACTAATTTAAGATTCTTACATTAAAAGTGTCCTGCAAGTTATCAGCAGATCAAAAAGCTTGAAGCTGTCATGTGGCTTCCTTGTTAACTGCTGTCTGGTTAAGTCACAGAAGAAAATCTAACACAAAAAGGTGCAAAGAGTCTCCCAAGCCCCACAGCAATCGCAGATCCATAAATAACTCCAGATATTCAAATTTGAGTCAGGTATCTGCTGAGCTCCTGAGCCCGGCACAGTGGGAACCCAATCAGGAAACCAACCTGATTGGAGCAGCCTCTTGACAATGCCACAATCAGCAAGGTACAATGGGAACTCGCAGAAGGACCATTCCGGAGCAACTGCGGGTTTCAGGTCTCCGCACGCATCCCTCTGATCCCAGTTCAGAACAGTTGGGAACTTGGAAGGATAAGCAGTTGGCGGAGCTTGGTCTGGGGTAACAAGCACAAGCACACTGCTTAAGAGAAGGGAAAGCCACACAGAGACATGGAAAGGAAGCTGCAAATCTCATCTGACCTCATGAAAACACATAACTCCTACTCAAGGGAGAGAGAAATCTGCAGCCGTCGCTGCTCTCTGCTTTCACGCAGATCCTGTGCCCATGTTCCTGCCGAAAGCCAGCGCATAGCGTTGGGGGAAAAAGGAATTATTTGAGAGAAGCTGAAGGAGCAACAATGCAGAAGCAAGCTCTGATTTTAGCAAACAAAGCAAAGTCATGGCACTGAAAGATGACAACAGCCCTGGATGCCTAAATTAAGACATTGAAATGCATTTAATATTCATACACTCATCACAAACGCACAACGCAAATTCTCTAATATACAGTAAAGCAGTTTATTAGCAAATGTCTCATTGGATTAAATCTGCTCTTATTCTATTAGAGAACTTTCACACCACATTAAATTGCAAGACAACAGGATGTTTGCCAGCACAGAAACACAAAATTATTAACCCCTTTTCAGAAACACACATAGACATGACACTGACGTATCAGGCCAAGGAAGCTCTTAGGAATATGGCTCAAATGGAAGTGCAGGGCATTGAGACAACTCACCATTCTCCATCCATCAGCACAAGAACATGCCAAGACACTCACTTCTCCCAGCCAAGCAGTCAGAACCCACTGAAATCCATCAGTGATGCTCAACAGTGGGAGAGATATGGTTTCTCTATTAACTATTTATCAGCCTTGAACACACCAAACTAAACAGTTACGTCCTTCTCTACAGGGGTATGCTTGGGTTTGGGGTTTTTTTCTTCTTCTTTTACACTTGCTCACAACTTATTTTGGCCTGCCTCCTGGTAGCATGAGCTTTGATGAATGATGCACGGTCATCCGTCTTCCAGTGCTGCACTTTGATGATGAATTGAGTGCATTGGGAAAGCAGTGTGAGGAAAAGCAAAACTGATAGCCACAGGAAAGGGGAAAAAAAGGGAGAAAGAAGAAAAAAAAGAGGAAAAACCCAACCAATGTTGGGCAACAGCTACAGAGTTTAATGAGGTGAGACTGATGCACGCAAAAAATAGTAGCTGAACAAAGAAGTGAGACACCAAACAGCACAGAGGAGCAAATGCCAGGTTGTGGAATCACTAATCTAGAAACATTCACGGGAAGAATGCAAGCACCCATCATAAAAGACCATCTCTCATTTACTTTGTAAGTCCTCTGTAAGCACTTTCAGACCTCTAGAAAGCCTCCTCAATACCTTTTTCTTTTTCCATTTATTTCACTTTCCTCCATTGTACTAAACCATTTCCTAAACACCTCATCTCCTCATCAGAGATGGAATGTCCTCACACTGCTTTGTGCTCCTGGCTTCATCGCATAACTTGTATTTATCTACCCAAGTTGCATGTGAAGTTCAGCAGTGATGCAGAAGGGAAAACCTTATTCACCTCCTCACCTTTCCTCAGCACATAAATTCTCAGGACAGGATTCAAGCTGTATCTCTTGTGTTGTACTGGTCAGCTGGTGGAAGATGCCCTATTACATCTATCTACAGTCATATAATGCTCGCAAGTATTGGAGCAATACCTGGATGCAACACACACACACTGTGCCTTACTCATTTACTCCACCATGACCCTACTTTCGAAATAATTCCATTCACGGGGTTTGCTTCTTCAGCAGAACCTCCCTCTGACATCTAGAGGGCAAAAGGAAACATCTGGCACTGCTGATGAGCAGAATTATTTGCCAGGGGGCTTCTCAGCCCACGAGCAGCATTGACTACTCACTGCACAAGGGTTCCTGAGCAGAATTTGGTATCAGATGTAGGCATTCTTTACATAACACACAAAGCAAAGCACTATGCTACCTTCTGATTAAATGATGAGGTCCCATAATTAAGATGATTCTCAAGCACAGTTGCAAGATGAAGGTATGATTTATTTGCATAACTGAAATCATCTACATAAAGAGCTGATTTTCAGCAGTGCTTCTTTAGCTCAGATTTTCCAGTTAGGTTAGACAAGACACTGAGGTCAAAAGGATCTGTCCTAAACTGAAGTGATTTAAAGCAAAATCGATTTCCAGGACTGTCCATGACTACAGCATCCTTACTGGGGATTCTAACTCTGGACACTGCCACTGTTTCTATTACCTTTTGAATATATTACTGTCAGACTCCGGCTGCAGTCAGACACCACATCAGACAATGGCAGTCATGGCACAAGCCACCAAGATGATTTCATTTATGCCTCAGACCTGGAGGTCTGAGATCACCAACTGCTTCCCATGCTGACACAGCATCATCAGTGGGTAGGGTTGGAAGGGAGAGCTTAGTCAGATGTATGTCCCTGTCCAGCTGGTGAACAGACTGTAAGATAGTGAATTACCCAAATGCACCCACAACGCATTTGGCAGAGCTATAAACTGAAACCCATTATCCATCCTCCCACTCAAAGAATCTCTTCTGGATTGAGGGAAGCTCCTCTGCACATTAGCTCTGCTTTCCTCTTGCTCCATTTTCTAATTAACTTCTCTGGATGTCTAGGATGACTCTTGGTAAATCATTACTGTCAGGCATTCACAGAAACATTTCAAACCTTATCAGAGATAAGAAATCAAAACAACTATAAAAGAACTGCTCATGAAGAAGCACTCCCAGTTTATTGCAGCATAAATGTCCAACCTAGATTTAATTCCAGTGGCAGAAAGGGGAACATGTTTATAAACAACATCCCTGTTATTATGAACAATGTACCTTGTTCTCAGATTCCCCTGCTGAGGCAGTCCATCGTAGATAGATAATACATCAAAATCTTCCTCTAATGCAAAGGACTGGAAAACAAGCTGTATCCTGTTCTGCTCCTCAGCAGTGATTGTCCACGTGCAGTTTGCATAATTTGGATATCCATAGGGAAAGCCTGGACTCTGTATTGTCCCATTTGGGCCCTGCAAAACGTGACTGCAGTTCTGGGCTGGCAAGAGAAAAGACAAAAGTACAAGTCAGATGGTGTAGGACGCACGTTTAATACATTCATCACCAAACCACAAAATACAGGATTCTTTCCACTGAATTTCTTCTCCGTTCAGAGTCCCAGAGAACAGAAAAGGCAAGAATCTGAAGATGCATCTTTGTCCTCCCTGCAGGAACTTGGACCCCAGATACCCCATCCCATGGGCACTGCTCCCTCTAGCTGGAAACATAATGGGCTACTACCAGCTGGTTTACAGCCGCTGCTGACTGTAACTGGGAGACAGATGCTTGCTCAGACACCCTTGCGCTGCCCACCACAGACTCCAACACACTCTTAATCATACACTGTGCATTTAGGGATTCAAAACGCTCCAAGGGTGCCTGGCCACGCTGGGTGCCTCAAGCATGAGGTGCTCAGAGGCCACAAACCAGCAGAATGACAAGGCCAAAAGTGGACTCTCTTTTTCACCCTTAGCACACTTGAATAAGAGACAGAAGATCAGGTCCCAACTGCGTGGACAAAGAGACAGACAACCCTTCACCTTGAAAGACCAAAAACTGTAATGGACATAATACCTAACGAGGAACTGAGTCACCAAATGAGTAGCGTGTCTGGACAAGACAGCATGAAAACTGAACAGCAAAAGATCAGGAATTGAAGTTGTCCTGACTCCGGAATGAGCACGATACAGTCAAAAGCTTGAACAAACCAACCAGTCTTGAATAGGTCTTTGGACTAAAAGAACAAAGAAAACACAACATATCTTTGCAAGTGCTTGGTTTTCTCTAAGCTAGTTCCTCACCAGCCTCAACACAGCACTTTCTGCACCCAGTACTGCTAAAGGAGCTGCTGTAGAGCTACATCTTCTGAGAAGAAAAGCCCAGTCCCGTACCCACCAGCTAAACACTTAACACCTCCCTCAAATCTCTTTTCCTTCCCCCAAGCAGTACTTGTGAACACTCCATCCCAGAGATAAAGATCAACTGCCATCATGTACAATTCCGGGTATATGAGATTTTCTTCTCTCTGGGGAAACAGGTACATAAATGTTTTGGGGAACAGCCTAAATGACAAGTTCTCCTTAGTGTTCTCCTCTCGCTTCACTGCTGCTTTACCTGGATGTCTTTAGAGGCACAAAAACCCCACTCTAAACATATGGGTGTGAAAATCCCACTGGTTTTAACGGAGTATATCCTCCACACCAAAGCCGAATTCCAGACTGTTTGCAAACTGCTGTGAGCAGAATTTCACCTTTACCCTGTGGCCAGAGCTGCTGATCACTGCTGCCTGCATGTGCTCTGGCTTTCATACTGATGCTGGATTGTTTACCCCTGTTTATGGAGGTAACTGAGGCTTTCGAGTTGAAACGAATTAGAAGTTACTACTTTGATTTCTCATTGCTTCTGCACAAAGGCAGCGATGGCATTTGCACTGCTGAGTACCCACCAGCTCCAGGTAGAGAACAGCAGCACAGTGCTCATTACAGCCAATCATAATTACATTGACCTACTTTGGTGTAAAAATGCTTAGTGGAACTTCTCTCTGCAAGATAAAGTTCACAGCTTTATGACTCTAAAATGGCCAATCCCATTTACTACCCAGGGCGTCTCTCTGTATCCTGTTTATTGTACCAATGAGAGTTAGGCCAGCCCCATAATCCAGCAGGGATTCCAACTGAGCTGGGCAGGGATGTCGTACCAAGGGCAGACTAACACACTTTGCATTCCCACAGCACCTGGCATCTGCCCCTCTCAGCACATTCCATCAATTCAGAAGACAAACCCGAGTGAGATCTACCTCCCTCCTCCTCTTCAGCTCCACTTATTTATGGAGTTCACTGAGAAGGATGTATTAGCTCCGTGCCAGAAAGCTGCACAGGACTGGGAATATTACTGTTATCAGAGTGGTAAAATTAGGCCTAGTTTGGCTTAATAACTTGGAGACTGCCAAAGACCCATAGGCTTCAGTTCTCTAAAATTCAATCAAATCCTCTTTTCTTCAACCAGACAGGCACTCAATAGGCAATGTGGGGATATTGAATCTGTCTCCACTGCACATTTTTTAATCATAAGTAAATGTCATCAGAACAATTTAAGAAAATTGGGAAATTAAAGAGGCTGTATCTCTCCATTTCCTGATGGTATAAAAGCTACTGGTGCTGCATGAAGTTCAGAACATAAATTCAAGGTCAGAAATGCCATGTTCCAAACACTTCCAAGGTCATGTGAATGGCAGAAAGCTTTAGGATCAATAGAAATCCACCCCATCCTCGCAAAATTAGTGAGCAAAACAGAGAACGAGGAAGGCCACCAAGATGAACATCATTTACACCTGGCTGGAGAAAAACTAATAACCAGTAGAACACAGGACACTGCGTTATGACATATCAAATCCATCTACTGAAACATTTGCGTGCTGATGACTGGGATCGAGACGTGCTTTGGACACAACTAACAGAGAACTGCTCATTGCAAACAGAAATTAGTTTTTCAGAAGCTGGCAAACGGGAAGGCAAAACATTGTTCATCAGCTGTGACAGCAGCAGCTTCTTTTATACTGGACACTGCTGGGAAGGCAGCAAGCACGGGACAGAAATCCAGGGAGCCCAGCAGAATTCAGGCTTCCTGTAATTTGCGGTCAGGTTCGAGTTACTTCAGCTCGGGCTTGACTGACAAAACTTCATCTAAAATGTGAAGTAGATGACATGGAAATGCTCCGTTTCTCCTCTGAAGACTTGCAAAACCAATTCGCTTTATCCCTTTGCCCCAAGAGCATAAGTAGGAAGCGATGAAGGGACAATACCAGTGCCTGCGCTATGAAATTCCAGGTCGGTTCATATGTAGGGACAGCATTCCTCCAAAATCCCTGCTGCACTCTCTCCAACCCAGTCAGACATGAGGCACCTCCTGACACCTTACTCGAGTAACAGGAACACAGCGCATCCCACGTGGATCGAGCACCCGCCTGCCTTGCCCTTCATCCCAGCCCTGCTGGGGTCATGCCGGGTGACCACGAGGAATGGCAGCAATGGCAGGACAAGCTGCACCCAGGAGCCACCTTCCTTCCCCCTCGGCAGCTGAACCACCAGCCCTGGCAGCAGAGGAAGGGCTGCACTTCCCCCTCTCTGTTTGCCGCTCCTCATTCAGGAGCTACAACAGTGAGTAACAAAGGTAAATACACAAAGCTGAGGGCTCAGATGGCATTCCCCAGAAGGCTGAATAAGGCACTGTAAATATTTATGTGGTTATTCCAGCTTCTAATGCTATTATTCATGGACTCTTACTTTCTGCAGGTGTAACACCAACGTGAAACTCATCAGTGGATATGCATTTGTGGGCACGTGTCCTGGTTTGCGATGGAGATGACCAGCCGGAGACTGGAGTGAATCCTAACTTGTACTCTGCCAACGCAACCTGCTATTTTCAATTCTGGAAAGTGGTTTATTGTGCGAGTATATCTTTTTAATGAATGCATCAGTGTAATTTTATTGCAGCAGCACTTAAAGTTTCCAGACAAGGACAAAAGCATTATCATACTTGGCACTGCTCAGTGGACAGAGCCTTTCTCCAAAGGGATCACAGTCTAAGGGAGAAGAAAACACAACCTAAGGAAACCCACGTTTGTGGCTGTGGGGCTTTGCAGAAAGGCATCTTTGTCCAGGGAACAACCATTTCCTCAATGAGAGAACTTAAAAGTCAGCTTCAGCGGTCTCCCCTCACAAGACTTGTTCAGCGGGATATCTGCTGGAGCAATGCAAACAGACTGATCACCTTCACTTCTGGCTCCTACGCACAAGGAATGTGATGAAATATTTACTTTGCAATATGCTCACAGAAGAACTGCATTTCTAACAGAAATAAGGGCTGCCTGTGGCATTTTCTAATACACAACTAATCCACACGCCACACAACTTAACATGACCGGACACTTAAGCAAGAAAACAAATACCAGCTGAGCAGAGCTCTGGCTGCCTCTTGCTTCAGCGGGGAAGCTGCAAACCCTCAAGCGTCACCCCGGGTAAGGATCAGCCTCTTGCCATGAGGAGGGCAGGAAGAATGTCCTTGTACTGCAAAACCGAGACTCCCTCTCACAGTACAAGCTACATGACTGGAGACAGGAGCTGGTGGGAGGCTTATTTACACTGTGTGTCTGAAATTGCTCAGACACACAAGCATGGGACTGTGCTGGCGACCGTTGCTGCAGCTTTGGAGTGCCTCATGCCCAACACAGTGGGCCAGGGAGCAGAACCCATTCATCCCACTATGACTACAGCAGGGGGAACACTAACTGGTTCTCACATCTTTGCGGCCTCACGACTGGTGGTCACTGCACATTGATCAAACCAGCAGAAAGAGGAGACTCCTCACGGAAGAGGAGACTCAATCATTCAAGCACGTTCACAGCAACAGGATTTTGTTACTTCCACCAAGTAAGCACCACTTACAGACAGGAACAAGCTCCTTTGGCTGCTGAATCCATCAAGCCCCTGGCTGGGACTGGGTTTCATTCCTTCGCATAGAATTCCAGCAGCTCCACACATTCAGATCAACTCCTACATTCAAATTCTGTCACTACAAATCTTCACCAAGTTGTCAGAAGCTAAATAACAAAGGCTTTGTCTGACATTACAAGTGCAAAGAAAATAGGTACAAAACATTATCTTCCATCTACTTCCAATTCCTTCAACTTACCAGGCCAGATGCACAGTGGTGCAAGATTTGAACTACGCTGACTTACACCATATGAATATCTAAGGAAGCAATACTTCAGAGAGAGGAAAACAGAATTTACTTCTGAAGTGCCTCCTAAAATATAGGTTGATGCACTTTGTTTCTCAGCAGAAATCTAATTTAGCAAACACTGATGTATGGTCACTGCACAATTCAAAAGGAACATATCGAATCACGTACAGCTCTCACCAGCATCATCTGTTGGTGATACATGGCTGCCTTCTCCTTAATGCAGCAGCTTTTGGTATTGTTATTTTCTTTAGTTATTGT